CCCCAAAACCCCAAAACCCCAAAACCCCAGCTAAAAAACTTCATACTGAAATTTATCTTAAACGTTTCTGTTGTTCTTGGAACCAATCTACAATATAGATTCCACGAAACACTAAATCAATAGAAGAACTGCTACTGCTAGAAGAAGACTCTGGAGGTTGTATAGTGTAACTATTACTCTCGCATTCCACAAACCTTATGGTAATATCTGCAGTGATGTTTCTTTTAACAAATTCTTTTGCCATCTCTGTCATTTTGTCTGTTGTTTCCCCTACAGTAATATCGATTTTGCTATATCAGGAGTGTGATAAAGCTTTGAGCAATGCTTCAAACATAGACTCTGAGTTTTCAACTCTCGGCATCTCTATGTAGAGCTCGACATAATCGATTCTAGTCTGATTTTCAAGTAGCGAAATTAGGGACGAAATTGATCTTTCTTGGTTAATAGTATAATCAAATACAAGTCTTTTCAGATTAAGCACTTCCAAAGCATTCAATGATAAACATTGCTCTTTTCTTTCCTCATTTTGTGGTATACCTTGGAGTTCATCTATTTGTTCAGCTTCCGTCTCATCTTCCTGTTCACCTTCTTGCTCTTCTTGTAGCTCATCATCCTTACTTTCTTCTGAGGGTGGATCTCTAACTATCGTAATCCTCACTCTGGTGGACTTATTTATGCTTTCAAGCTTCTCATAAGTGCTTTGCTTCTCGAGGTCATTAGCAGTAATCTCTATTCCTAATTCTGGGAGTCCCTGAATGAGAGAGACAAAATCTGAATTTTCAATCAGTGAAAATTTACATCTTAAAAATTTCATTGCTCCGAAAGGTACAAGAATTTTCATGTAATTATCCAGTAGCTCTGTCGATTCGGTATCACTTATTTTCGTCTCTTCGACTGCACCTCCTTCTCATTGAGACTTTTCGAGAAGAAAGATTAGATAGCTTTTGTTGAACTGAAATTCGTCAAAATATACTAGAGAGAAGCTAGTGAGCTTCATGAGTTTTACTTGAGTGCCAATGAATCAATAGTCTCCCTTTAACTTGGATTCTCCATGTTGGATGTTGTCAGACAAGCTGATATTAGAATGATTGAATGTATCTAATGCTGAAAGATTAGTATTTTCAGGCATTCTTAAATTAATTTTCACTTCTAGTCCTTTCTCACTCAAAATTTCATAATAATCAATCATCGATTGCATGATTTTAGAGCTCTCAAGAGGATCATGGTCGTCTCAAAGAATTTCTCAACGAAGAAGAACTTTCGGAAGCTTCAGATTTATGTCATCTGAGTTTTTCATATGACTTTCAAGTACTCCTGCTAATCTAATAATGATATGCTTGTCTCTATCAAAGTCATCTGAGGCTAGGCTAAATTTTAAGTGAGACTCTGCAAGATTTGTCAAAAATTCGGTCAGTTTTCCTTTTTCAACCACTTGGTCAAAAAGTTCCATGAATTTGCAAGTTTTAAACGCATTAGATTTTAACACAACAAAATTGGTCTCCATTTCTTTCGTAAAATCAATGTATTTCCGGGAATTACAAGCGTAAATACTGTCTGAATCACTAAGAAGTTTTGGAGGCGGTTTGATATCAAATAGCGTTGGAAAAATGAAATAAGTGGTTTCATCAATTTTCACTTCCTCATATTCCTTCTCAAGCAGCTTACATACATTTTGGAAGAACACTAAGTTGTGAGGATACTCCACTTTAGAAGGAAAGTCTATATTTTTATAGATAATTATCATTTCAAATCGATTCCTTCTAGAAACCTCAGAATTGTATGGATGCCTTCCTTATTTATCAAGAGTGTGTAAAAAACTAGTTCATAGAGCTTGTATCCATTGGTCTCTTTGAGCTTCATCAGTTCAGAGTCTGGACCTTTTGTGCTGGAGACCCCTTTTAAACCCGAAATTGGAAGAGTTCTCTTAGGAAGAATGAAGCTCCACTTATTTTCCTCATCAGGGTAAGATATAAGTAACTTGTCTTCATTAGATATCCACAGTTGCCTCGACGCTTTTCTTAGATGAGTCATTAGTTCTTTACACTGACATGCGTACCCATAATACTGAAGAATATTTGCTGATATTTTGAGTTCAGTCAAGATTCTTTCCTGAAACTTCCCTGCTTTAATCTTCAGCTTAGTTTCATTGAGGTTTTGCAGTGGGTTGTTTTTCATTAGTAATAATTGTATGATTCAACCTCTGATTTTCTTATTGGGGTTTTGGGGTTTTGGGGTTTTGGGG